TAGAGTGGGTCAGGTTTAGAGTGGGTCAGGTTCAGAGTGGGTCAGGTTCAGAGTGGGTCAGGTTTAGAGTGGGTCAGGTTCAGAGTGGGTCAGGTTTAGAGTGGGTCAGGTTCAGAGTGGGTCAGGTTTAGAGTGGGTCAGGTTCAGAGTGGGTCAGGTTCAGAGTGGGTCAGGTTCAGAGTGGGTCAGGTTTAGAGTGGGTCAGGTTCAGAGTGGGTCAGGTTTAGAGTGGGTCAGGTTTAGAGTGGGTCAGGTTTAGAGTGGGTCTGGTTTAGTCTAGCCGTGCTAACGAAACGTAGTGTCTGTCAAAAGTTACTCGTAAAACATCTTTTGGTGGCGAAGCTGATAATAAAAAAATGAAAATACAAAAGTCCTGCATTAGCTACATCTCATACCGTATTTAACATCGTCTTTCTATGATTAAAAAAAAATCAAGAGGAAAAAAAAAACGGGTGTTTTAAAATCCAACTGAAGGTGAAGGTCAGTATCACCCACGAGCCAGATGTGTCCGGGTGTTGATGAACTGGCGATATTCTAGAGGTCTTGAGCAACATCTGACCCTGGTGTGGCGTCTGCCGACCTTGACCCCACCACACCGATGTTTGGCTAACCCAGATCTGAACCGGAGTGTGTGCCTATGTTAACCAAGTTATCGAGAGTGTAAATCAGGAAAACTTTCAGACGATCGCATCAAAGTCGCGACAATATTTATGTGTAGTCTATGTCATTTTTTCCCCTAAATTTCAACAAGCTTGCATTTACGCTGAACCCGCAACATCACCCCCACCCCTCCCTCCCCACCCCCATGCCGCCTACATATAAAAAAAAATCTACAACAAAGCTGATAAAAGTTTTTTTTCCATCGTTTTCCGCGCGTGAAATATATCAGAAAAAGAATTCGGTTAAACTTTTTGAACGGCGCGAAGTTGGTAGCGCGCACTCAACTCACTGTCGCAAGATACGTGGTTTGCATTTAAGTGTGTAACCCGTACCACGTGACTCAGGTCACTTGTCACGTGATACGTCTGGGAGCAGCGGAGAGCTCTCCCGTTGGAAAAGTTTTAAAACAAGTTTCGGTATTTTTTTTTTTTTTTTTTTTTTTTAAATTTTAAAATAAATAAAGTAGCTTCGTCTAGTACTAGTCTAGATTTTGACAAGAAGTAGACTCGGGTTTATTAAAAAAAAATAATCTACTAGCCAATCAGCGACAACATAACAAAATGAACCAGTAGGCACCTATCCTTTGCTGGTGGTTTTCTCATTTTCTGGTTAGAAGACTGTCCATATATAGGAGGGACCAACATTTACATAGTGCCGATACATAAGTTGGGAAACAACATTTGATGATATAAAACCAACATATACAGCGAGAACCAAGATTTTTTGAGGGAATCAAGATTTTGAGGGAATCAAGATTTTGAGGGAACCAAGATTTTGAGGGAACCAAGATTTTGACGAAACCAACATTTTGAGGGAATCAAGATTTTGAGGGAACCAAGATTTTGACGAAACCAACATTTTGAGGGAATCAAGATTTTGAGGGAACCAAGATTTTGAGGGAAGCAGCATGTTGAGGGAACCAAGATTTTGAGGGAACCAATATTTTGAGGGAACCAATATTTTGAGGGAACCAAGATTTTAAGGGAACCAAGATTTTAAGGGAACCAAGATTTTGAGGGAACCAAGATTTTAAGGGAACCAAGATTTTGAGGGAACCAAGATTTTAAGGGAACCAAGATTTTGAGGGAAGCAGCATGTTGAGGGAACCAACATTTTGAGGGAACCAAGATTTTGAGGGAACCAATATTTTGAGGGAACCAAGATTTTAAGGGAACCAAGATTTTGAGGGAACCAAGATTTTAAGGGAACCAAGATTTTGAGGGAAGCAGCATGTTGAGGGAACCAACATTTTGAGAGAACCAAGATTTTGAGGGAAGCAGCATGTTGAGGGAACCAACATTTTGAGGGAACCAAGATTTTGAGGGAACCAATATTTTGAGGGAACCAATATTTTGAGGGAACCAAGATTTTGAGGGAACCAATATTTATACACCCCCGTGTCCAAGACTCATCACTAATTCAAGGCGTGTAACATTGAATGACTAAAGTAAAGAATGCTATCAAGGTGACTGGATGCAAGACATCATCGTCCTTAGGACTTAAATAATGCAGTGTTTCTTCCAGACTTTTTTCTCCGGGGGGTGGGGTGAGGACACTTGATATTTTCGGGGGGGGGGGGGAAGAGGGGGGGGGGACTACATTCTACAGTTTCCGGGAAGGCGAACATTGGTAAAAGTATATATTTTCTATATAAATTCCATTTTGTTCAGGGGGGATGGGAGGGGGGGGCGAAGAGATGCCTGGAAGAAACTCTGCTTAAATGATACAGTTTATCACAGCGTCTGCATTGAACGACAGCGACGCCTTAACGTTTAATTAACTTTTAAGCAGAGTTTCTTTCAGGAATTTATTCGGGCAGCACCCATCTCTCCCATCGGAGCACGTCCACCATCCCACCCCGGGGAAACATACAATCAATTTATCTAGAAAATATATACTTCAACAAATGTCCAGCATCCCGGAAATCTCCAGATCAACCCCTCCCACCCCTCGAAATGTCAAGTACTCCTCCTCCCTCCCCCCCCCCCCTCGCTCGGAGAAAAAAAAATCTGTAAGAAAACCTGATTTAAAGATGTTAAGAATTACGTGCACCAAAAGTTTAAAGCAAAATATTTATGTCTAGATTTGAATGACATATGTAGATGAGACCTAACCAAAGTACTCTCTGCTAGAGAGTCAGGTAAGGTGTGGCTATTGATACGTCATGTCTTTCTTCTATCAAGAGTAGCGATAGGCTAATGGAGAGCTTGGTTGTCTTGGTAACACATCTGCCGTTGTGTTTACACTTATATACAACTGTTAGCTTATAATAATATAAGTAAACATTTTAATGTTTAGTAGATGCTATGATAGGTACGTATGTATGTGTGTATTTATGTATGTATGTATGTGTAATCATAAAGAACAGTGAATGGATCAAATATATCTGATATATAAACATTTTAGCACTATCACCTTTACATTAGCCTAGGTGCATTAATCTGACAGGACACTCAGGGGCGTAGAAGTGTTGCCTGGAGTTAAGTGGGTGCTTCTATAGAGCTTATATATATAAATTAAATACCGTAAAAATGTATTAAAATAATTAGATAATCCCCGGTCTACGTTTATATAGGCAAAATGTTTAGTTTGCAAGTTTAACTGAGAAGGCAGTCGTTCGTCAGCCACTGGTCCTAAGGCCTCTGAATGAATGTGTAGGCCCCGTGTCTTTTTCACTGCTGGGGGCTTGTAGGCTTGTAATGATGTAATTAGGGTTTCTTTCAGACATGTTAGTCTGGTGAGTGGGGGGATAGCTCCTGAAAAAAAAACGTTTTCATTTTATTTGTATACTTTTTAAACCGAAAGAGTATACTGTTTAAACAGGAAAAAATCGACTACAACCTCAGTGTGGTTAAAGGTTACGATGTACGCACATAGGCTACATAGGCCGAGAGAGTTTATAACAGTAACTTTGACTCAAACAAAATTACCAAGGCCTTCGTGAATGTTAAGTTAGCACCCCCCCCCCCCCCTCCCTCCCACCTCTCAATTTCCTCCCAAAAAAACTCACCCAACTTAATGCAGCAGCAGTAAACAGACCAAGACATTCTCTAGTTTCTTAAATTAAAATTTACTAGAAAGAAAAATGTATCCCTTAACTGATAAAGCTTTTATATAAATGAAATATTTTTTTTTTTTATGTTCATGTTGACCAATTAGGATCTATAACCACCTTGACTTTTCATGCCCATCTACAATGTGTGGTGGTTATATTCAAGAAACATAACTCTGTGTTAGCAAAAATAAAAACACTATTTCACAGTAGTGTCCCCTGTTTTATTATCATCTTGCTAAAATGCTTATTTGGCATTTTATATTAGATTGTATTAATCTATCTCATTACCGGTAATGAAAAAAGCAGTGAACGGTTTGATAATAATTTTAACGCATTGACCATAAGCTCTTGTTTACAAATTTTAATAGGGGCATATTTAAATAGCATTATTCAAAGGCTTGCCTATCTTAATTTTTTTGTTTGGGTATGAGTACATTATCATTAAAGGGGGACAATATAGTTGTTTAAATGTTTTTCCTTTTCTTCCGGGTGAAAGTGGAGACCAAAAATATAACAGCTAAATACCGAAATATAAAACTATGACCCTAATACTAATAGTACTCAGCGCGACAAGTCGGTATAATTATGTGAAAGATTGCAATACATTTTGATAATACAATAATAGCACAAATTTTGCTTTCTGGAAAAACCTCACACCACGTTTTAATATAAAGGCCTACTATAGATTCTAGTACCAACGTTTTATTGCTTGTAAGTGTATTGTGGTGTCATTCTAATTCTAGATTGTAATTTTGGGTGCATAAAATGAACATATTTTAAATCTTTTTCATACAAACAGTAGCGGTTTGTTGAAAAAATAAAGATGTGCTGACTGCAACGACCCGAGTTGTCCTAGATCTAGTTCGGATCAAATTAACTAAAGATATGCCTATCTGAAGTCTAGTCAAATTGTCTATTAAATATTTATAATCATTAATTATATTTTTTATGGCTAAAATGTCTCGTTACAAAATATAGAAACATAAATTACAGCTAGATAATGTCAGATCACTTTAATAGCTATTTTTAACCACATAATAAGCCATAATGCTGTTTAGATTTATTGAATTTATTTCAATAATTTCCTCTAATTTCGGCCGGTGCATTCTCCAGCACAAAACTTAATTAAAAAAAATTTATTCATTTGAATTAGTAAAAGTATTAGTGGGGCCATAATTTTTTTAAATCAAAATATTGTTTGAAATGTTAATTATAATATATATATAAAATGCTACTTGAGTAAGATCGGCAGATAATGGTAAGTAGGTGAACCATAATATAAAGTTACAGAAAAAAAAAGTGACATTGGGTGCAACATACGAGGATTTTGTAACAAAAAATATACATTTAATGAGATCCCTGTTCTTGTACACGCGTTTAAATGACCTAAGGTTAATTTAATATGAATCTATTTAAACTTAGTTTAATTTAAAACAATGTAATTCAAGAATGCATTGGCTGGAGGTTTTGGAATCAATTTTTCTTAAAGTTAAAGTCTGTAGTGTTAAAGGTAGGGGGGGGGGGGGGTGTAAGTTTTGAGTGGAAGGGGATAGAAATAAGAACCTCCCTTCATCTATGCTTCTTTTAATATTTTCTTAGATTTTAAACTAGAATTAGATTCTAGATAGGCCTAAATAGTAAATATTGTCTTATTCTTATGTAACAACTTCTAAGAGTTTTGCCTTACCCAGTCGTTTGTATTACAACAAACCTTAGGCTAGCTAACTTCACTTGACTTCTTATCTTATTATTAATAATAATTATTAGGAATATTATTATTAAATATTAATGCAGACAATCCAATTATTATTATTAATAGGCCTATATTAATAATATTATTATTGTTAACATCTTCTCTACTTAAGCCAGCATCCTAGACTTGGAGTTTCTTTTAGTTTTACTCTCTATTCTAGTCTTAAAAGTTATTAGGCCTAGTTATTGAACTACTCAAACACACTTGTTTAATAATATGAGCCGTATTTAACCTAATCTTTTAAATGACTTAAGCTAGTATAATATAACCCTATCCAGTATCCATGTTCCTAATCCTGTTTTTATAACATTGCTTCAAACTTTACCCAGACTACTGATGAAAAAAAAAATGGCAGTTATGCCTCAGTAATCCAGTATGGTAGTGACAATTAAAAAAAAAAATTCAACGTGGCACAAATTTAAATTAACACCCTAGGCCCTAGGCTGAAGTCATAATAAGTTTATTTATTACTAGCAGTAAAAAGAAAGTCTCAAGTTCTGTTCCTACAATAAGTCAACTCTGATGGGTGCCTGACTCTGGAAAAGTAAAGCTGGCCTACTGTTGTAACCATTTATTATTGTATAATAAAGTTTATTATTATTAACCAGCCTGTATGACCTCTTCGTCATCTGCCCCATAAGTCCTCAGGTCACATTACTTTATAAAACATTATCAATCAAACTCACTGGAACATTCCTGAGTCTGATGGGTACCTAAGTCAAGTTAGGGAAAGTAAAGGCTGCTGGGCATAGTGCTGACCACATTATCTCTTCAAATGCAGAGGTCACAGAAACAGGTGAACTCTACTTCACTTGCCCCATGGACCGTCAGGTTCCAAAAGGGAAATATCTAACACTTTTATTCTTTGGAAACGATCATTGTCAAAAGCTAATAGAAAAAACCATCCAATGAATCCTGTTTATATACGTAACATGTCTTAAATTATACCTCACTGTCTTTCTGAGTGTTAATTTTAGTTTACCTTACATTTGAATTTTTTAATGCAAATCATTATTTTAAAAGTTATGTTTTAAAACATGTAGGCTGAAAAAATATTTGTGATATTACTGATAGATTAACTTTTTTAAACACCAGAATACAAATTATTGTTGTGATTTCTTTTCTGAAAGGAATAGGATTCCTCACCTATAGCTGACATGTTTTAGATTATGCAATGACATTTTAATAAAATCATGTGATGAAAAAACTCATCAATTCAGGGTGAGTTTTTTTTTTAAAGATCAACATCAACATTATATTCATTAAGTAACTTTAATCAAAGTTTATGATCTAGTTATGGGTTACAAAAAAAAAGATGGTTGTGACAAATGTTGGTGTTTTAATATTGAGATGCTGATATCATCCTGAGTTATATTATCATATACATTTCATTCTAAAAAAAAGTTTCCTAAAATTATTATTTACTTCCAGATGTACTGAACCATGAGAGAAGAAAACTGAGTCGTCAAAATGTCCAATGTCGCTGATTCATTAACTCAGTTCATTGTGACTGATGAGAATGATGAGAACAGCCAGAGTCTGTTCATACCTGAGGGAACATTCCGGGGATGGGTGCCTCGGTCGTTATATTCTCTGTCACCCAAGGAGGTCTGTTTACCCTTCCTGCGCTTGTTGAGTTTCCCAGTTGGCGGGACGGCTATTGGTTCACTCTCCAGAAATTTAACAGTATTCGAGGCTGTTGGCAATTGTCTTTCACGGCTCCCTGTTTCATTTGCTGAATGTTCAGGTCTCAAAAAATTGGACTTGTCATTCAATCAGTTCACAGAAATACCCTTCCCTGTATATAACCTTAGACAATTAGAAGAGTTAATTATAGAGCATAATGATCTAGAAATTCTTAGTTCATCAATTGAGTATTTAAAAAATTTGAGAGTTCTAAAGCTTGGTGGGAATTTATTATCTGACGTGCCAGAAGAACTGAGGAGATGTCGTAGAATTCAAATATTAAACCTGTCCGGCAAGTTCTACCCCAGGGGCAACCTAACAGTCTTTCCAGAGTGTATCTGCAGCCTGACTGAACTGGTCAGTTTGGATTTATCCTGGCAGCAAATTAAAAACATCCCTGACGCCTTTGGGAACCTGCGCAAGTTGAAAGTTTTAATTTTAAAGTGGAATCAACTCCAGCGAGTTTCTCCTGAGCTGCGCAGATGCACACGACTTCGGGAAGTTGATTTGTCTGGGGCGCTACGTCTTATGTCTGCAATTCCAGAGGCCTTGTTTAGCCTGGAGGATCTTAATGTAAGGACGCAGCTTTTTTGGCCATCTTATTTCAGCTTTTCTTTTTTTTTCTATTATTCATTAAAAGATTTAACCAAAAACTTGGTAAATAACATTTTAATTTTACTTGATATTTCTTTTGTATAATTATTATTATACCTTTTTTTTTTGCAGAAACTTTATCTGAGTGATAATTTTTTTACTGACATCCCTCACCAAGTTTGTGGCTTGGTCAAGCTGAATTGCCTGGTTGTGCAGCGTAACTCCCTGCTACGGTTGTCACCTGACCTGTACAAGCTCAGGTACCTGGAACATCTGGAGCTTAGTGAGAACTTTCTAGACAGTAAGTTGAAGGTTGCCTTGACCCCTAGACATTAAGTTGAAGGTTGCCTTGACCCCTAGACAGTAAGTTGAAGGTTGCCTTGACCCCTAAAATGTTTTTAATTAAGATAACCACATTTCTCATTTGAAACTGAAATTTGTAACTATAATTATTATACAAATAATTTATTTAAAATAATTTATTAACTTGCTTATATTAATAAGTGCTTAAATACATACAAATGTCAATAAAATAGCAACTTGTGCGGTTTTTTAATCAGAAGAAACAAAACAGTAAACATAAATAAATAAAAAAATCTTACTAGCAGGCAATTTGTTGATGTTGCAATAGTTAATTTATGTGCCTTTAAGATTTTTAATTGTTTTGTCGCTTTTTATAATGTTTCTACATTTTATTTCTTACACTCTGTTGAAGTGTCCATTAACTACTATCTTTTTTTTCTTACAGCTCTGCCTCCTGGTTTAAGAAACTTAAAAAGACTTCGCTATTTGGGTTTATGTAGAAACTGTTTGACTGAATTACCTGATGAAATATGTTCCTTGGAGCAGCTTTGTTACCTGGAGTTAGGTAACAATAAAATTACACAGGTGAGATGGTTCAACATTAATGTTGGTCATTGATAAGATTTTAAGATAATGGATTTAACCTTTCAATAATGCATCTCAGTTGTTTTCTATTTACAATGATTACTAAAATTCTAATTAAATTTAAAATATTTTTTTGCAAGTTTTACACCATAAGGTTTATTTAAAACTTATAACATTGGATAGTAACATGAAATTGTTGGCCATTTAGCAAAATATTGTTTCTTGTTTTGTATAATAAAATTGTGTTTATTTCATTGTTGTAATGTAATTGTACAATTTTTTTTAATTTTTATCTTAAACTTATATATTCTGTAAATTTTACTATGATAGTTACTAATCATTCCCACTCAAAATTATACTGTTCACAAAGAAAGTTTTTTTTTTAAAAAGAATTACTGTAAAATAATAAATAATCCAATTATATACATTGGGCATTTTTTTTGTGCTCATGAGATCAGTCAAAACTGATGCATAAGTAATATTAAGAAAATTACCAAAACATTTTGAGAACTGTTATATTTTTAGATTTTTCTCATATTTTATATATCTGTGTATTTTGAGATATTTGCAAAATGTGTCATATTAAAAGAAATTTGAGTTTTATACAGATAAATGGAATTTAAAAAAATAAAATGAACATGTGTTTCACATTTAACCATAGGTGGTAAATAATTTCAAGGTATAGTCAAAGCTATAAAATTGATTAAGATTAGTAGGCTACATTTTTGTCAGTAATGAGAAACACATAAAACATGCTAATTGTGTCCCCAGCTCCCATAGAAAATCTCACACTAAACACATAAAACATGCTAATTGTGTCCCCAGCTCCCATAGAAAATCTCACACTAACCACATAAAACATGCTAATTGTGTCTCCAGCTACCAGAGAAAATCTCACACTAAACACATAAAACATGCTAATTGTGTCCCCAGCTCCCATAGAAAATCTCACACTAACCACATAAAACATGCTAATTGTGTCTCCAGCTCCCATAGAAAATCTCACACTAACCACATAAAACATGCTAATTGTGTCTCCAGCTACCAGAGAGAATCTCACACTAACCACATAAAACATGCTAATTTTGTCGCCTTAAGCCCACTAAACACATAAAACATGCTAATTGTGTCGCCCTAACCCCACTAAACACATAAAACATGCTAATTGTGTCGCCCTAAGCCCACTAACCACATAAAACATGCTACTTGTGTCCCCAGCTCCCAGAGAGAATCTACCTACTCCACAACCTGAGCACGCTGGATGTGGAGAACAACCAACTGACAGAGGTTCCTCTGCTCATGGACCAGCTAGAGATGCTGGCTGAGAACAATGGCCTGCACATCAGCAACAACAACCTGCGCAGTCCCTTCAAGGAGATCAGTGAACAGGGCACTCTAGCTCTGTTTGAGTTCCTTAAAGGTTTGTAGGATTTTAACATGGACATTTTGTCATATAGGATGTAATTTTTATAAGTTCAGTATTCTATGAGGGTATTTAAATGCTTATTTCACTTTCCCTCATGTTGGTTGAATATCTATTTGGACATTTTTCTGTTTATCATCTGCTTGCCTAGTGGTGTGGTATTTAACACTCACAACTTGTAGTTACCTCATTACTTTTATTTTCTTGTTTTCCTAGACACATTGATTGTGTCCCTTATCATTCAAGTTCCTACTATCTATTGCAGCGGTGCCTACATAAATTCATTTGGGAACTAGCTGAATTATTTAGATTGCTTTGTAGATCTCATATAGGCATTTATGTTACTGTCCATTACTTTAAGAAGTTAACTAAAATCATCATGTATCTAGAGAGGGTAGAGGCTAAGATTTGTGAAAATGTGTATGTACATTTCTGTATGTTATTTAAAGCTACAGTTCAGCACATACAGCGCCTGGTGTTTATACAAATAACTAAATTGTAAGAAAATGTTTGACGCAGGCATCAGGCTGTTTATACAAATAACTAAATTGTAAGAAAATGTTTGACCCAGGCATCAGGCTGTTTATACAAATAACTAAATTGTAAGAAAATGTTTGACGCAGGCATCAGGCTGTTTATACAAATATCTAAATTGTAAGAAAATGTTTGACGCAGGCATCAGGCTGTTTATACAAATATCTAAATTGTAAGAAAATGTTTGACGCAGGCATCAGGCTGTTTATACAAATAACTAAATTGTAAGAAAATGTTTGACGCAGGCATCAGGCTGTTTATACAAATAACTAAATTGTAAGAAAATGTTTGATGCAAGCATTAGGCTTTTTATACAAATAACTAAATTGTATGAAAATGTTTGATGCCGGCATCAGGCTGTTTATACAAATAACTAAATATTAAGAAAATGTTTGACCCATGCATCAGGCTGTTTATACAAATAACTAAATTGTATGAAAATGTTTGACTCAGGCACCAGGCTGTTTATACAAATAACTAAATTGTATGAAAATGTTTGACGCATGCATCAGACTGTTTATACAAATAACTAAATTGTATGAAAATGTTTGACGCATGCATCAGACTGTTTATACCAATAACTAAATTGTAAGAAAATGTTTGATGCAAGCATTAGGCTGTTTATACAAATAACTAAATTGTATGAAAATGTTTGATGCCGGCATCAGGCTGTTTATACAAATAACTAAATATTAAGAAAATGTTTGACCCATGCATCAGGCTGTTTATACAAATAACTAAATTGTATGAAAATGTTTGACTCAGGCACCAGGCTGTTTATACAAATAACTAAATTGTATGAAAATGTTTGACGCATGCATCAGACTGTTTATACAAATAACTAAATTGTATGAAAATGTTTGACGCATGCATCAGACTGTTTATACCAATAACTAAATTGTAAGAAAATGTTTGACGCCGGCATCAGGCTGTTTATACAAATAACTAAATTGTAAGAAAATATTTGAAGCAGGCATCAGGCTGTTTATACAAATAACTAAATATTAAGAAAATGTTTGACGCAGGCATCAGGCTGTTTATACAAATAACTAAATTGTAAGAAAATGTTTGACGCAGGCATCAGGCTGTTTATACAAATAACTAAATTGTAAGAAAATGTTTGACGCAAGCATCAGGCTGTTTATACAAATAACTAAATTGTAAGAAAATGTTTGACGCATGCATCAGACTGTTTATACAAATAACTAAATTGTATGAAAATGTTTGACGCATGCATCAGACTGTTTATACAAATAACTAAATTGTATGAAAATGTTTGACGCAGGCATCAGGCTGTTTATACAAATAACTAAATATTAAGAAAATGTTTGACGCAGGCATCAGGCTGTTTATACAAATAACTAAATTGTATGAAAATGTTTGATGCCGGCATCAGGCTGTTTATACAAATAACTAAATATTAAGAAAATGTTTGACCCATGCATCAGGCTGTTTATACAAATAACTAAATTGTATGAAAATGTTTGACTCAGGCACCAGGCTGTTTATACAAATAACTAAATTGTATGAAAATGTTTGACGCATGCATCAGACTGTTTATACAAATAACTAAATTGTATGAAAATGTTTGACGCATGCATCAGACTGTTTATACCAATAACTAAATTGTAAGAAAATGTTTGACGCCGGCATCAGGCTGTTTATACAAATAACTAAATTGTAAGAAAATATTTGAAGCAGGCATCAGGCTGTTTATACAAATAACTAAATATTAAGAAAATGTTTGACGCAGGCATCAGGCTGTTTATACAAATAACTAAATTGTAAGAAAATGTTTGACGCAAGCATCAGGCTGTTTATACAAATAACTAAATTGTAAGAAAATGTTTGACGCATGCATCAGACTGTTTATACAAATAACTAAATTGTATGAAAATGTTTGACGCATGCATCAGACTGTTTATACAAATAACTAAATTGTATGAAAATGTTTGACGCAGGCATCAGGCTGTTTATACAAATAACTAAATATTAAGAAAATGTTTGACGCAGGCATCAGGCTGTTTATACAAATAACTAAATTGTATGAAAATGTTTGATGCCGGCATCAGGCTGTTTATACAAATAACTAAATATTAAGAAAATGTATGACCCATGCATCAGGCTGTTTATACAAATAACTAAATTGTATGAAAATGTTTGACTCAGGCACCAGGCTGTTTATACAAATAACTAAATTGTATGAAAATGTTTGACGCATGCATCAGACTGTTTATACAAATAACTAAATTGTATGAAAATGTTTGACGCATGCATCAGACTGTTTATACCAATAACTAAATTGTAAGAAAATGTTTGACGCCGGCATCAGGCTGTTTATACAAATAACTAAATTGTAAGAAAATATTTGAAGCAGGCATCAGGCTGTTTATACAAATAACTAAATATTAAGAAAATGTTTGACGCAGGCATCAGGCTGTTTATACAAATAACTAAATTGTAAGAAAATGTTTGACGCAGGCATCAGGCTGTTTATACAAATAACTAAATTGTATGAAAAAGTTTGACGCAGGCATCAGGCTGTTTATACAAATAACTAAATATTAAGAAAATGTTTGACGCAGGCATCAGGCTGTTTATACAAATAACTAAATTGTATGAAAATGTTTGATGCCGGCATCAGGCTGTTTATACAAATAACTAAATATTAAGAAAATGTTTGACCCATGCATCAGGCTGTTTATACAAATAACTAAATTGTATGAAAATGTTTGACTCAGGCACCAGGCTGTTTATACAAATAACTAAATTGTATGAAAATGTTTGACGCATGCATCAGACTGTTTATACAAATAACTAAATTGTATGAAAATGTTTGACGCATGCATCAGACTGTTTATACCAATAACTAAATTGTAAGAAAATGTTTGACGCCGGCATCAGGCTGTTTATACAAATAACTAAATTGTAAGAAAATATTTGAAGCAGGCATCAGGCTGTTTATACAAATAACTAAATATTAAGAAAATGTTTGACGCAGGCATCAGGCTGTTTATACAAATAACTAAATTGTAAGAAAATGTTTGACGCAGGCATCAGGCTGTTTATACAAATAACTAAATTGTATGAAAATGTTTGACGCAGGCATCAGGCTGTTTATACCAATAACTTAATTGTATGAAAATGTTTGACGCCGGCATCAGGCTGTTTATACAAATAACTAAATTGTATGAAAATGTTTGACGCAGGCATCAGACTGAAGGAGGCCCACCACAGATGGAAGATGATTCTAATCGGAGCAGCCCAGGCAGGCAAGACCAGCTTAAGACAAGCCCTCATGCTCGGCCGCTCCAAGCTGACCGCTGAACACGAGAGGACCTGGGTCATGGAGCGCCACCTGTGGGAGCCTGAGTCTAGGCTTAGGGTTCAGGTTAGAAATTCTTAGTTTAACCTACATGTTACTCATCTCATGTTTACGTGGAATAGCTTTTATCTAGAATAAATTCTTTAAAAAAATTTGATTTCAATAGTTATACGGTTAAAGGAAAGTTTACCTGTTGCTATGGCCATGAATAGATTGTAATTGGCTGCAGTTACATATACATTTATTGCACTAATTACACAATGGCTTTAAACAGATTCTTGACTTAAATGGCCATCAATTGTCTACAGTTACATATACATTTATTGCACTAATTACACAATGGCTTTAAACAGATTCTTGACTTAAATGGCCATCAATTGTCTACAGTTACATATACATTTATTGCACTAATTACACAATGGCTTTAAACAGATTCTTGACTTAAATGGCCATCAATTGTCTACAGTTACATATACATTTATTGCACTAATTACACAATGGCTTTAAACAGATTCTTGACTTAAATGGCCATCAATTGTCTACAGTTACATATACATTTATTGCACTAATTACACAATGGCTTTAAACAGATTCTTGACTTAAATGGCCATCAATTGTCTACAGTTACATATACATTTATTGCACTAATTACACAATGGCTTTAAACAGATTCTTGACTTAAATGGCCATCAATTGTCTACAGTTACATATAAATTAATTGCACTAATTACACAATGGCTATAAACAGATTCTTGACTTTGGAGGCCACCACATCTACCAGGCAGCACACCACATGTTTCTCTCCCCTGATGCCCTGCATGTCCTGGTTTTTGACCTGACCAAATACTCCTCAGAGGTGAGTTCTTGTAGTGTGTATGTCTAGTTAATCCATTTCCTGCCCTACACACCAAATACTCCTCAGAGGTGAGTTCTTGTAGTGTGTATGTCTAGTTAATCCATTTCCTGCCCTACACACCAAATACTCCTCAGAGGTGAGTTCTTGTAGTGTGTATGTCGAGTTAATCCATTTCCTGCCTAACAAAACAAAAAATCACTCAGGATTTTTCTTTATGTGAGGAACTATATTACTCTTTATGTTACTCTAATTGCTACACAGGAATTGAAATCCTTTTGGTATGACGATTTCAGTTTAATTTTTTTTTTAGGTATTTTTAGACAAGATATAATTTTTGATATAATAAGTAATTATATGATATTGATTTAATCTTGCGTTAATTATAATATACGTAAAGTAGTGAAGTAAAAATATAGCAGTTTCAGTAACTGCTAATGTTTTAATTTTATCAGTAGTAAAAATGGGTTTTCTGTATATGTTCCAAGTTTGCCATTAATTTATTTTTAATTTTTAATTGTCATGCCATTTAGACTTTAATACACTCAGTCCATTTTTCTCTAATATTGCTTTATGCCCTCAATGTGGATATTTTTAATAATTTAATAACGTGTTAAGGTTAAAAAAAATGTATTAATTTTTCTTAGCAATATGTAGGAAAATTAATGTAATGCTTGCACAGCAGATAGTTTTTACACAGTCCAAAAAATAATTAGCTTTTTAAATAAATAACAAATAATCAAACTCAGTATTAATACTTTATCAACGTATCTATAATTTTAATACTCTGTATCTTTAGAAAAGTGTTACTTTAAAATTAATGTAATAGAAAAATTTAAAAGGTTTTTTTTTTATTTGTTACATTTTTAAATGCTAGTAAAATATTATCTGGTTGTTTGAAAACATGCTTTCAGGTTTATGATGATTTGATTGGTCACTGGAGGGTTGTTTGAAAACAAATATTTTCAGGTTTATGATGATTTGATTGGTCACTGGCTGGATATTTTCAGGTTTATGATGATTTGATTGGTCACTGGCTGGATATTTTCAGGTTTATGATGATTTGATTGGTCACTGGCTAGATATTTTCAGGTTTATGATGATTTGATTGGTCACTGGCTAGATATTTTCAGGTTTATGATGATTTGATTGGTCACTGGCTAGAGGGTTGTTTGAAAACATACTTTCAGGTTTATGATGATTTGATTGGTCACTGGCTGGATATTTTCAGGTTTATGATGATTTGATTGGTCACTGGCTAGAGGGTTGTTTGAAAACAAATATTTTCAGGTTTATGACGATTTGATTGGTCACTGGCTGGATATTTTCAGGTTTATGATGATTTGATTGGTCACTGGTGGATATTTTCAGGTTTATGATGATTTGATTGGTCACTGGCTGGATATTTTCAGGTTTATGACGATTTGATTGGTCACTGGCTGGATATTTTCAGGTTTATGATGATTTGATTGGTCACTGGCTGGATATTTTCAGGTTTATGATGATTTGATTGGTCACTGGCTGGATATTTTCAGGTTTATGATGATTTGATTGGTCACTGGCTGGATATTTTCAGGTTTATGATGATTTGATTGGTCACTGGCTGGATATTTTCAGGTTTATGATGATTTGATTGGTCACTGGCTAGAGGCCATCATGGACAGAGCTGCCGGAGCTAAAATTGTCATAGTGGGGACACACTGTGACCTTTGCACTTTGGAGGAGATATCTGAAAATGTGGACGACATCATGCGGCTGATGAAGAGACACGAGGACATGAAACGTCAGCAAATACAAAAGGAAATTGACCAGATCAACGCAGCGCTGGACAGGCCAGACTCTAGAGAAGTCAGTGCTGGCATCCCAGAGATTGGGGTGGACAGGATGAAAGACAAACTCAAGAAACTGGAGAAGATGTTGAATGTTAGATCTAAGGCAAGTCTTTTTCTCTAATGATCAAAGATATTAGTCTTGTTCTATACTCAATTCTATACTCAATCATGTTTGATTTATCAAGAGTCTCAGTAAATTCTTACAATTTTTTAAACTACCAACTGCTTGTTTGACCCTCTACAAATTCTATATACTTCTGTTTTTGAAGTTTAAAAATCTAAAACTAGCTCCTCTTTGATAAACTCATCATGACCACTACCATACACACACACACACATATACCACCCCACACACTTATTTCAGAAAAAAAAAATTATTCTAAAATCAGTGTATATTGCATTGTTTGACTAGTCAACTTAAGGACAAAGCTCTAACATTATTATCTCATATCATTTCAGTTCATTGCATCAGTTCTCACTACACTATAAATGAAAGTGAGATTTTGATAAATTGTTTTAAATATACTGTATGATATTTTATAATATCTGACCATCTCCACACATAAATACTAACAACATTGTTGTCGTTTTTGGAAATAATGATTTGGTCTAATTAAATACTTTTTAAAATTTTTGAAACAACTGAATTGACCATTGTGTTATTGTCAACCCAATGTTACATATGAATTACCTTTATGCTCCATGTTATATGTGAACTGACCATTGTCCACCAGATACCCGAGCAGATCTACGTGGTCAGCTGTGCTGACAACCTGCTGGGTGTGTCAGACCTGCGAGATTTTCTCATCTTCAAGTTCAAGTCAGAACCTGTCACAGCCCTACCTGAGCACTGGTTCCTCTTCCTGGAGACCATACAACAGGTGCCAGACAAGGTCATACGGCTGGACAACACCTTGGATCTATTCATACAGGTAACACTTTTATACAGCGTTTACACATGTATACTATACATTTTCAGAACACAAAGCCCGCCAAAATTTATTTTTATCTGGAACAATTTTCTCCACAGAACATGTATACTTTAGCGTTCACACTTACAGAACATATTTTAGAACATTTTATAAAACAAGCATGCCCTTTGACATGGAGCGTCTGCTATATAGGCCCAGACAATTAAAATAAAGAGTAATCGAGTAATCAAAGTAAAAAAAAACGTAGATATGGGCACACAGTTTTATTTTTTAAAAAGGAAAATGGTGTAGCCACGGTGCTTGCGATTCAACAAAAAATAATATAAAAATTAGAGAACATAGAAGAATTTATAAATTTTACTGGAGTGCCAGCTACTGGAGCTAGACAGTTTTTATAAATATAATGCTGTGTATAATACCACGGGTCGTAGACATTACCCACATTTTATCACCCCTTTCTCCCATCCCTCAGTACGATCACCGCTTCCCACCCCAACCCCATGGTAGCCATTTCCCCAGCTTCTTTAATTGCTTGTCTAAATCCTTCAGAAACAGCTTCCAATAAACAGGGCTAAATATTTGTTTGCTGAAAGGCCAGATTTCTCCGAAAACGTGCATCTGCCAAGTTCATTAAACGTATTGAGATCGTGTTATAACTATACTGAGTCTATTATTAAGAATAAAAGTAGATATAGTTTTTAGAGTAGGGCCTATGACATCCCCCCTCCCACTTCGCTTCTTTATGTTAATTATGTCCCATTTTAAATCTAAATAATTAGCCTATGGGGTCGTCCATAAATGATGTCACACTCATAGGGGGGAGGGGGATCCGTAATTTTGTGACGGTGTGTGATGAGGGGGAGGGGGGGTTCAGATGGTGCAACGTCACACTTTTGCATTATACAAAAGCAATGTTAGAAAATGAATTTTAGACATTATTTCGCGTTTTAGAAAACTGTTTTAATCAATTGTAATAGGAATCAATTAAAAAAAAATTTAACTGCAAATTTGAGGGGGGTTGTAGGCTGAGGTGTGACGTCATTTTAGGGGGGTCTGGCTTTTTGTAACGACGTGTGACGGAGGGGAGGGGGAGGGAGGTAAAAATCGTCAAAAAAAGCGTGACGTCATTTATGGATGTCCCCTATGACTTTTTTATCTGCCTGTTTTTATAGTAAGTTGATTATGTGTGATCCCACGAGCACATTCTGGTGGCCCTTAAGATTTATTCATGTCAGAGGGAAACTCAAAATATGTTGATACACTTAAAACAAAATATTGGTCAATGAAAAATTGGAGATACGTTTGGTTAAATTATATTTTTTAATTAATTATTATTTTCGTAATTAATACCTAAACTGGTTTTAAGACAAAATTGTAATGCCTTAGACATTACATTATTTCAGTAAAATGTGTTTGGAATTTAATTAAAGAAATAATAAGTAATTATTAAAATGTAAATTTTAGTTGGGCCTAGAGAAGTTATAAATTATTAAATAATGTGCTCAAAAACTCAAAATCATTAGAATCTATATTTAATTTTGCAATCAGCTGAGACCTAGGATGCGCTTACTACTTTTGACGCATGCGCACTCATCTGAAAATTCAGAACATGTCCAATGTTTTCGCTCAGCGAGCGATGACAAAAACTTGACCCAGAACACAAAAAGGGGCGTAGTTTTGTGCCCTGCGACTCAGAAGATGTTCCATATACCCGTAACATGTTTAGTATACACTTTAGTAGGTCAAGTCTAGTATTTACATGTCATAAGTGTAAACGCGGTGTTAGGTTTAGATTAACGGATTAACACATTCAGGTTTGGATTAACACATTCAGGTTTGGATTAACACATTCAGGTTTGGATTAACATATTCAGGTTTGGATTAACACTTTTAAGTTCAGTAAAAAAAAAAGCTGATGAAAAGATTGAACTGCAATATCTAATCTAGCCACAAGAATAATATATCCATTGTTGAGAAAACTCCATTTTGTTAACTGGAGCTACTTTCTTTTTCAATAGTTACATTTAATTAGATTTAATTTCACTAATTATATTGCCCGTAATTTTGAGAAAACAAATCATAACTTGAGAAAAATCGTAGAAAATGAACCATCCGTGATAGAACAAAGAGAAAACAACGGATTGTACCACACAAAAAACTCTGGCGACCGCGGCCCGTAAAGGGTTAAACCATCAACTACACTATCTGGGCTTGGGTGTAAGGTGACTGAAAAATACACAACAGAAACTTGAGCACACATAAAAGTACTCAAGTTGAAGTTTGAGAACTCAAAAAAATACAAAGAGAAATTTCAATGTAAAAAAATACTTGCAGAAAAATGTGCCAAAAAAATTTTGCATACAAAATATTCTACCCACTCACAGATAGCTCAGCAAGGAGTATTATAGAAGTTTGTATGTTTATGGGTGCAAGTTTATTTTTTACATGACTATCTTCTTGCCATTCTTCTATGCGCACAACTTTATGATTGAGTTTTTTTCCTATTCAGAATCGAATCAAATTCTCTATTTATCTGTTCTCTTAATCTATAATAATAGTTTTGCTGTCTGTCTATCTATCTGTGTATGTATGTATCTGTTTGGAACGCTTTTACTATAGAGAAAACACAAGCAGAGTAAAAACATAGTAATACGAAAAATGAAACGTGACGTCTCATGGTATAAAAATCTGTTTCAATGACATTTTTCGTTTCCGGTTAAATTTGAAGTTGAGGTGGTGACTTAAGATTTAGTTTTGGTTTTGAGAAAAGAGACACCACTATCAACCTAGTGCCAGTTGTATCTCTCTCAACTGGCCATTTATCTCGTCAATTAAAGCAAGTGTATGGTGCCACTAGACCAGCCATTTCCTGTTGTGTTTAGTATAGGGTGTGAGATTCAACTCAAACATGATAAGCAGGAAGAGAATAAAAATAATGCTAATTGGTTTTCAAATTTAACAGCTTAATCTTATTATGTTTAGTTAAATTCTAACAAAGTAGAAAATAAAATTTTTACATTTTTTTTTTTAATATTTCATTTGTCTGAGTAATTGGATTTAGTTTCACAAAAATAAATCTCTGTTAGATCAATGTATTTTATAAAATTTAAATTCTAACCAGGTGATGTCAGACAGCCACAAGTCTATGATGGGAATGGCCGGCTCCCCAGAGCGTAGCCTAGAGATGGTGCTGAAATATTTCCACTCCACTGGCGAGATTGTCTGGTACTCAGATAACGAGGAGCTGCGCGGCACTGTGTTCCACAAGCCTGAGGCCCTGATTGACATGCTGCGCGCTGTCTTCAGGCACGACTTCCAGGACGTCGTCTACTACGATAAAACCATCGGAGAAACTTTGTCCATCAGGGAAAACTCTTTTGATAAAATGAAAAGAGATTTCATGAAGAAAGGTCTGCTGACTAAAGAAATGCTGGGCTATCTGTTGATACATTTTAAACTGTCAGAAGATGGGCCGGAGACTTTTATTGCTTTGATCCTGTCACTCATGATCAAATTTAACCTGTGCTTTGAGTTGAAAAACTCGACAACCAACGCCCTACATGGCTCGTCACAGATTGTTCAATTCCCTTGGTTCTTCCCTCAAGACAAGCCCTTAGATTTCTACAAAACCTGGCCTGCCACGGTGCCGTACAACACTTTTGAGCTGAGCATGGAGATTTTCTTTGACGGTAAAGCCCCGCCCAATTTCTTTGAAAAACTTTCCGTAAAGCTGCACAGTTTCCTGTGTGACGGGAGCCGCATCAACTGGAAGGATGGGGTTCTGGCGGAGAAAAACTTCTCCAAGCTCCTGGTTGTCAGGGAGAAGAGGAATGGTTCTACGGTTGTCGTGGTAACCGCCCGTGGGGAGTCAGACCTTCAAGAACTCTGGTCATTGATTCTAAACGTGCATGAAGTGTCCACAGAGCTGTTCAAAGACTGGCCTCTGATGAAGTGTGAGATTCTGTTGGTGTGTATGCACTGTGTGCTGAAAGGGGCTGAGGACCCCTACAGGTACCCTGGTTACGTGCTCAAGCATTCAATACCCAAGGGAGTCTACTCTATGAAATGTTGTGACAAGTTCCCTGATGAACTCGTTCCCACCTGTTTTGTTTTTCCTTTAGATGAAACGGGTGAGTATTTTAATAGGTAGAAACTTTACATGTAATCTGTCATTTAAAAATACGAAGAAACTTTACATGTAATCTGTCATTTAAAAATACGAAGAAACTTTACATGTAATCTGTCATTCTAAATAGGCAGGAACTTTCAATGAACTTATTTAAGACATTGAAACATTTAATGTTTAATTTAACTTTATAGACAAAAAACATATTATTTGGTATTACTCAGAAAAATTAAATAATTTTAAAATTTAAATAATTTTCTGTGTAGTAGTGTTTACACCATCATATTTTGTAGTTTAGTTACTTTTTTCATTTTTTTGAAGACTTCAAAAAGTAATTGATACTAATTTTTTCGAATTAGCTGTTTATAAAAAAATTATAGTATTATCATCAAACGTGTATAAAACAAATATAAAAATATTTTCTAATTATTTTGTTTTGCTGTAAAGACCGCGAGGACCTCCAGAAATACATGAAGTCTGCCACAGATTTTATGAGTAAAACTTGTGATGTTGTCGATGGCCCAGGCAACAACCACATCCTGACAGACGGAAGCCTGGCCGTTGTGGCCTCCAATCTGGGCGTGAACTGGACGATTGTGGCCCTCAATCTTGGCCTAACACAATCCAGGATTGAACAGCTACACATGGACCACCCACATGTGAGTTGACAGTTGGCTTTAGTTAAAAACATACAACCCCATAACAGCATTGGGGCAAGTGTCGTACAAGCAAATGTCAGGCAACCCATATGTGAGTTGACGGTTGGCTTTAGTTAAAAACATACAACCCCATAAACAGCATTTGGGCAAGTGTCGTACAAGCAAATGTCAGGCAACCCATATGTGAGTTGACGGTTGGCTTTAGTTAAAAACATACAACCCCATAAACAGCATTTGGGCAAGTGTCGTACAAGCAAATGTCAGGGAACCCATATGTGAGTTGACAGTTGGCTTTAGTTAAAAACATACAACCCCATAAACAGTATTTGGGCAAGTGTCGTACAAGCAAATGTCAGGGAACCCATATGTGAGTTGACAGTTGGCTTTAGTTAAAAACATACAACCCCATAAACAGTATTTGGGCAAGTGTCGTACAAGCAAATGTCAGGGAACCCATATGTGAGTTGACAGTTGGCTTTAGTTAAAAACATACAACCCCATAAACAGTATTTGGGCAAGTGTCGTACAAGCAAATGTCAGGGAACCCATATGTGAGTTGACGGTTGGCTTTAGTCACATTCAGCACGTTAAGCCTGTGTTGTGTGGGGATCATTTTACAAAGGAATTAGACATGGTCTAGGTGGCAAATTTCAAACACTACACGTAGTCGCTGATATTTGATCTCCATTCAACATATCTTGTTTACACAATGTGTAATAATTATGTAATAAAGAACTTAAGATTCATTTTGTAAAAAAATCTAGTATAAAATGGTATTTATTTTTGTTTCATACGAAGAAAAAAAAAGTGATTTTACGGTTGTAACAATGCAAATACAAATTTATTGTCTACTATGTCAACTTGGTAATCTATATATATAATTCTCTTCTGGGAGACGCTAGAAAATGAGCTATAAGCGCGCTCCTTACCAACCCCAACCCTACATGGTCTGGTGAGCTGTGGCTCACGCTAAATGTTTACATTCGTAGAGCCGGGTTTAGTGACGGCTATTAGGGGCAGATAATTTAGTTTGAAACGATTTTAAACTTATAGGAGGTAAACTAAGAGGAGGCTGCTTTCACGGGGGGGGGGGGGTAGGGTAGGGGTTGGGGGAAAGGAGGGTGGGGGTAGTATCGTTCTTAACGACCTACTGATAGTGTTTTAAACCAAATATTTTCAGTGGCAGCATTGGTACTGTCGAATTCACAAATTATGAATTACTGAAAAGTAGAAAATAAAACAACTAAATAGCGGCGTATGATATGCCGCGGGTCGGCTCGTATAATATAAATAATTATGTTTTTTTATGCTTAGAGTTATGTTTACAATCAATATGCCGAATTCAGATTTATTAACATCGTCTACTAGGTTGTATATATTATTAAACAATTTCGGGACAAAATGCCTTCGAGTAAATGGCTTTCAGGCAATATTCGATTTTGGGCAAGCGTCTTTCGGGAATTTTTCGTAGACCTCTGTTTACCATCTTCCCAATGTCTGTCCCCAATGTCTGATGTCTGTCCCCCCAATGTCTGCCCCCATCCTCCCATTGTCTTTCCCTAATGTTTGATGTCTGTTCCCCCAATGTCTGTCCCCCTAATATCTGTCTCCCCAATGTCTAATGTCTGTCCTTCAATGTCTGATGTCTGTTCCCCCAATGTCTGTTCCCCCAATGTCTGTCCCCCTAATATCTGTCTCCCCAATGTCTAATGTCTGTCCTTCAATGTCTGATGTCTGTTCCCCCAATGTCTGTCCCCCCAATGTCTGTCCCCCTAATATCTGTCTCCCCAATGTCTAATGTCTGTCCTTCAATGTCTGATGTCTGTCCCCCTAATGTCTGTCCCCTAATGTCTGTCCCCCCAATGTCTGTCCCCCCAATGTCTGTCCCCCTAATATCTGTCTCCCCAATGTCTAATGTCTGTCCTTCAATGTCTGATGTCTGTCCCCCAATGTCTGTCCCCCTAATGTCTGTCCCCCCAATGTCTGTCCCCCCAATGTCTGTCCCCCAATGTCTGATGTCTGTCGTGTACCCACAGGACGTCTACCAACAGATCCTAAAAGCCCTGATACAGTGGAGAAACACAGACCAAGCCAACAGCCCTGAAGAGAAGGTCCAGCAGTTGTTTCAAGTCCTCAGTAGTGAGCAGGTTGGACGTCTGGACATAGTCGAGGATTTAAAGAAGAAATTTGGCTTGTGATAAATGCTTTAGAAACTACTCATCTATTTTCTATAGAAACTATGTACAGCGCTCAGTATAAAATACCTAAGTTACAAGAACCATAATGTGATTCTGGCATTTCTGGTTACCATTTGTTGTTATTGTTGTTACACAGACCTGATGTACCTGCTGTAGTGGTCATGTGACAACTGTGGTCATGTGACAACTGTGGTCATGTGACAACCGGGTCATGTGACAAAATATTGGACTTCTAGTTTACTAATACAGTGTCAGACTTATGATGTAAATCAGGGGTCTCCAAAGTTTTCAGCCCGAGGGCCGCATTAGCTATCAAATATAAGTTCGGGGGCCAGAGTTTCTTCCAGGCATCTCTTCGCGGAGGCGCATCCCCCCACCCTCGCCCCCAACGGAATATATATATATATATAATATACACATTTCAAGTGCCCCCCTACCGAGAAATAAGGTCTGAAAGAAATACGTTCGGGGACCGACAACGCACTCGAGGTCCAAGTTTGTTCTCAAATTGTTCGTCACGTAGGCTTTCTTCATTCTTGACAAAGTTTGTATGTTGTTCCGAAATTTGAAAGGTGCTTTAATGCAAAAGTTTTAATATTAGGAAATCTTCCTTGGGCAAATACTTATAAAACCCACCCGCCGTTATTTCAACTTGTCTTTAATGAGGTCATTTGCTGGGCAACTGGTCACATCTATATATATAATTCTCTTCTGGGAGCCGTTAGAAAACAAGCTGCAAAAGCGCCTTAAACTCTCCTTTCTTCCTCTCTATCGCTACCACCCCCCACCCCCCACCCCCTCACATGGTCTGGTGAGCTGTGGTTCATGCTGTTTACATTTTACAATCATAGAGACGGGTTTGGTGACGGCTATTAGGGGCAGATAATTTAGTTTGAAACGATTTTAAAATTAGAGGAGGTAACTAAGAGGAGGCAGCTTTCACGTTGGGGGGGGGGGGAAGGGGGGGGTAGTGTTTTTAAGCAAATATTTTCAGTGGCAGAATTGGTACTGTCGAATTCACAAATTATAAATTACTGAAAAGTAGAAAAAAAAAAACTAAATATCGGCGTATGATACGCAGCGGTCTACTCGTTTACTTTAATGGTATTAGCACTCAATGCTACATTTTCAGTTTGTTTTGAATTTTTTCTCAGCCACCTCCAAGAAACATTTATTTTTCGTGGACAAAAAGATCTCCGAGGGCCGGATGAGAGAACCTCGCGGGCCGCATACGGCCCGCGGGCCGTAGTTTGGAGACCCCTGATGTAAATTATAAATGCTTGAGACTTGTTTTACAGCATAAGTTTTTTTTATAATTATAATCAAGGCCACCCTTGTAGTATTTTCTTAAATACCTGGTAATGAACCTTTAATACTATGCCAAGTTAAAGCTCATTTTATTAATTGTGCTATCCTTTTAGTATTTTCTTAGATAGTGAACCAAATTCTTACACATTTAACAATGGTTTAATATATACAATACTGTATATGGCAACCATTTGAGTCTTACTCTATCACAAGTCCTGTGTTATATAAATCTACTACATAACAGTAATCCTATTATGATTAAACAGAACTGTATGTGGTGACCATTTTGTGGTGATATAGAACTGTATGTGGTGACCATTGTGTGATGAAACAGAACTGTATGTGGTGACCATTGTGTGATGAAACAGAACTGTATGTGGTGACCACTCCATGGTGACACAGGTTGTACATGTGTGGTGACTACATTGACAACAACTTCATATAAAGTACCTTGAGCTAAAACAATATTTTATTGAAATATTTTTATCATCAGGTACTCTACCATTAACGTTAATTAATATCAATTATCTTTACCTAAGTTAAGTTTGACTTAATTTAAGACACTTCATGTGTCAGACTTTAAATGTCAGACTTTCTGTGTAAAATCTACATGAACATGATTTATATTTTAATTCACGCTCCTAAAAAAATTATAAGGCTCCTAAAAAAAAATTGAAATCGTGGATACTAAGTTTTTTTTTTACCTTTATTCATGATTCCAGCATGCAAATAATTGTAAATAATGTTAGTCAGGTGTTTAGGTGTGATAGTTTACCTGTAATTGGATGTTGCTTCAAGCACAAGTTGATGTTAACATTTTTATGCTTTCTACAAGCCTGGCTTTATAGAATTAGATTTGTTCTCATGTGTCTAAACCCTTTACATGGATTAAAATGTCAAACCATTGGTGTTTGGTCAGCTTTAATTTCTCTGACATATTGGATATATGAGTATGTTTACTGGGATGGCTTGTCTGACAGATTGGATATGTGTTTGTTGAGTTTGGTTTATCTGACATTGGATATGTGTTTGTTGAGTTTGGTTTATCTGACATTGGATATGTGTTTGTTGGGTTTGGTTTGTCTGACATTGGATATGTGTTTGTTGAGTTTGGTTTGTCTGACATTGGATATGTGTTTGTTGAGTTTGGTTTGTCTGATATTGGATATGTTTGTTGAGTTTGGTTTGTCTGATATTGGATATGTTTGTTGAGTTTGGTTTGTCTGACATTGGATATGTGTTTGTTGAGTTTGGTTTGTCTGAAAATGACTTGGGTTGCTTATTGAAACAGGTAAATTGAACATAGTACGATGTGTTTGTGGTTTGAAAATATTTTAAGAGCAACACTGAAATTAGCAGTTTTTATTTCGAATATTTACAATATAGATCTAGTATTTATTTAGTAAGTCAGCACGTTAGGACTAACATAATGAAAAATTCAAGTAAGAGGACTAAATATCTATATATATAATTCTCTTCTTGGAGACGTTAGAAAACAAGATGCAAGCGCGCCCTTACAGTCCCCGTTCTTCCTCTATCACTACCACCCCCCCCCCCCCCACATGGCCTGGTGAGCGATGGTTCACTCTAAATGTTTACATTCGTGGAGCCGGGTTTAGTGTAGTGACGGCCATTAGGGGCAGATAATTTTGTTTGAAACGATTTTAAACTTGGAGGAGGTAATTAAGAGGAGGCTGCCTTCACGGGGGGGGGGGGGGGTATAGGGTTTAAAGCAAATATTTTCAGTGGCAGCATTGGTACTGTCGAATTCACAAATTATGAATTACTGAAAAGTAGAAAATAAAACAACTAAATAGCGGCGTAGCCTATAATACACCACGGGTCGCTCGTTTGTTGTTATACTTTACGTTTACCCGATTAGCATTAATTTAAAAATAGAAACAAAAACGGGTTTTTACAATACGGTAGATTTTGGAAAGCCCCCGGTTAAAATTAGATTTCAGGGAATATCCTGTACATTATACCAAGTAGACCAAGCAACTCACAAGACAGTTTGTCTGAAGCTGAAGATAGTGGCGTTAGAGGTGAGTTTTTGTTGAAAGTTTTTATTTGTTTTGGTCTGTTAAAAGTTTGATAGATGTGTAGCACGGTTGTATGTCGTGTTTATGTGGTAAGAATTTTATTTTAAATGTCTGGAAAATTGACGTGTTGTCATGACTTGAAATAATTTAACAAAAATATTTTGTAGTTGTGTTGTTCGTTTGGTCATACAAACAACGTGTCGTGTCTTAAGGTCTAGTCTACTGGGAAAGCTCATAAAAAAGATCCGCCCAGACGAGTGGGCTCAGACGGTGGAGACGTGGGAAATGTGAATTTCTTTGGGGGTCTGTTTTGTAAGCATTGACAAAAAAAAGTTAACAGAAAACATTCATCTTTGTGGGAAAAAAAATATGATTCTTGGAGTGGGTGGAAGGGGATGTGTCGATTTGACCTAAAACTCATTGAGAAGAAAAGGGACACGGGTCGGACTTTATTGACGATGTGTGACTAGGGCGCGTGTACCCAGAATTTACATTTTAAAACTAATGTGAAATTGATGTTTAGTCTTTATTTTGTGATTTAAAAAGTAATGTGAAATTGATGTTTGGTCTTTATTTTGTGTTTTAAAAAGTAATGTGAAATTTATGTTTAGTCTTTGTTTTGTGTTTTAAAAAGTAATGTGAAATTGATGTTTAGTCTTTATTTTGTGTTTTAAAAAGTAATGTGAAATTGATGTTTAGTCTTTATTTTGTGTTTTAAAAAGCCAATTTTTGTAAATTGTAATAAATAGTGATCAATATGGTCAATGTTGACCGAGCTCAGACAATAGTTGATAAACAAATCGGTGTTGAAAAATAACAAATATAGTAAGAGGGAGGGGGGGTCGTAAGTTTAGGTGTTACGTCATTTTAGGGTTGGAGAATCTAGCGTTTTGTGGGGGAAGGGAGGCAAAAAGCGTGACGTCTTTTATGGAAATCTTCACTGAAGTCTTGTTGTATGTGTGAAAATTATCAACATCTGTTGACATCGCACCCACAGCCTGAAGTGTATTGAATCGATTCAAATATTTTGTTATCATATTCGTAAAAACAAAAAAAAAATTGCGTGATATCGGTATGAACTCTTTACATGTTTTAGAAAAAAAAGTTATTTTCCCCTACTTGAGGATATTTTTCTTTTTTTTTAGAACCGGGAAAGCCAATTTTTAAAAATTGAGTCACGTGAATATGGAAAACCAATACGTTAAAAATAGACTATAATATTTAACTCTCCGTGTAGCCTATTTATATCTATGATTGGGGACAATCATACATGAAAGCTAAAAGCTGAACTTTTTAGTTGTGAGTATCAAACATTGAAATATGTTTTATGTGTGTATGTCTTTTTCATATAGCAATTAATAACACGTATAATGTCTTAATTAATCCGTCACTGTCAGATATAATCTAATTTCTACCAATTTGTCGAGTTTCCGTTTAAATTTGGGCTTAAGTATCTATGTTAGTCGTTAAATTTAATTTAGTTTCTACAGTCGTCATTCGCTTATTACGGTACTTAATTAAATCAACAACTTAATAAGAGATGTAACCTAAAATTAATTTTAATATAATGGAATTTTAATTCACATAATAATTTTTCTTCAATATAAATATATTAGCTTAAAACTTATGAAAACTCTGGCATAGTTACAACAGTATCGATAGTTTTACTCCGCTTAATAATTAATCCAAAGTCGGATAAATACTCTACTTGTAATTTCCTATTATAAAACTTTGCGTTCAGCAACAGTAAATGAGTAAAATACACACAAAAAAGCTTGTGCTTAATTTAAATATTAGATTTTAAAACATGAATATAGATTAGATTTGAAATTTGATATTAAAACATAGCAATAAAATATTTTCAAGTGATAATGACTGTCGCGCAGTAGTCGAAATGTTGGCTAAACTCTATATTCGATATTTATGACCTCAACAACAGCAGAATTGAGGCTCTTATTTCATCATTCAGCAGACGTCGTGCACTCTAAATCTAGATCTAGATCTAGTCTATAATCTAGATCTAGATCTATACTATTTTACTTTTATTTCTTATCTAGATCTAGATCAAGAGTTATTATTAAGATCAAGCTCTAGATCTAGAATCTAGTGTATAGATCTATATCTAGATCCATACTCCGAACTAACATTAGAATAGAATCGCCGTTTGTTGTAAATGTAAGCAATACTACTAGTACTAGACTACTACTAGAGTGTAACTAGAGTCTACATTGTCGAATGGAGTTTGAATTTATTTTGATGCTTAGGATTAGCCTTAGGCCTAATATTTTTTAATAATACTTAAGATCTAGATCTATTCTAGGTCTAAATATTATGTATTGATAGGAAGGAATGTAAATGGTAAATGAAGAAATATCAACAAATTATTATTTTTTAAAATTTAAACATTTTTAAATTTTAAAATTTAATTAGACTAATTATTTAAAGCACCAAGATTTATTTTCTGGGGACCCACTGGGATATATCTATGTAGACGAGTGGGCCAGTCCACCCCTGGCTAGGCATAGAACTGATATATCTTCTGCTGAAACCACATAATCAGTTAACTCTACTTCCTCTGCCTTGTTGACTGTCATTTTCAAAAGGAAAACTTTACTTTCTTTTTAAACATTTTCTTGAAATCTCAAGTTAAAAATTACCACCTAAAATAATTTCAAATAGAAAAAAACATTCCTATATTAGATTGTCAGTTATATCATTGTAGAATAGACATGTAGATCTATATTTTAATGTTTATTTTGGTAGCAGAAATTGATTATAGGGTGTATAATTCATTTGTCTTATACTTCAAAAACAAAATGTTCTTGGTTGCGAAGTGTCTGGTATTTGTACAAAATTATATATAAGCTTATACATGTCTAATACAATTAGAGCTATTTCATATGTTAGTTAACATTATTGATCAAATAAATTCAGTCGCATTTCTGACCAAAGTAGTTTTCTAACTTTTCAAGAGAAAAATGTAATTTGGTAAAGTAAAATAAAATATTTATGTGTGCTGTAATTAAAATATTGACATTTAATTTCTAATTCATTTAATGTTAGACGTTATATAAACTCAACTATTTTTCCATTCGACTTGGATATGTATAGCTGATTCCATAACAAAATTCTAACTCAAGGCATTTGTCTATTCTTCAATGAAACAAAAAAAAATTCCTTTTAAAATACACGAATCATTAATAAAGACACTATCATTTTGTTTTCACATATTTCTGTTCATTGTTATACATTTTCTACTTTCATGTATTTCTATGTCATAAAACTAAATAAATTATTTGATGACCCTTGCAAAAGTTTTTGACTGGGTGTTACAGGCCACAAGCTCAGCCAACATCAAACATCACAAGCTCAGCCAACATCAGACAAAACAAATGGGTGCCTAATATGTCACTACACAGTTAGGTCAAATGGTAAGTTTATACATTATTCCATTTTGCATATTTAGATATTTAAATATAAACTAGAATACCCGTCATCCGTTAGATAACTGTGGGTTTCGGGGGTCATCCATCAAAAAACAACACGTCTGTCACTCAGAGGCTTAGCGACCCTTCCCGGCGCCCGGGGACAAAGTTTTCGATTTGAACCCCCCCCCCCCCCCCCGTCAAACTTTTGATGTGCACCCCCCCCCCCCCACTCAAACTTTCGATTTGAACCCCCCTCAACCTTTCAATTTATTTTTCCAAACCATTTTGGCGCCCCAACATATGTCCCCCCACCGCCCCCCCCTTCCCCTCTCGCCTCCCCTTCCCCCCCGCCTCCCCTCCCCTACCGTCCCCCCTCCTCGGTACGCTACTGCATTGTCACTTATCGTCACATAAAACAGACCCCACATTCAAAAATATGTTTTTTTATCTTTTAAAAACACCGAAAACACCGATTTCGGACTATCCCTTCATATATTGACGTCACACGTGACCTACTCAACTCTACTTCACCTGCCCAGTGTCCCGCCAAGTCTCAGACAACATGTATTTATCGTTTAAAAAACGATTCCAGCCGAGCTTGTCTCTGACCACACTATCCTTTCATATGCTTAGGACAAAGAAACAGATGAACTCTACTTCACCTGCCCTGTATCTTGCCAAGTTCAGATAGGCAACTTTATCATTCACATCTAAAAAAAAAATTGAAAAAAAAATTTCATTGACATATTGGTCTAGAACCCGTGCAACCTGCATGAGAGCCGACTACGCTACCATCTTAGCTATTTACTCGTGACGTCCCAAGTGAATTTTTATACTATACAATGAGTCTCCTTATGCAACTTTATTTACGCGCATAGATTCTAGATCTAAGTCTAGTACTAACTTTCAAATTAAATTTTATCTTAAATTAGCCAAACAAAGATTTATATAAAATAATTAAGGCCTGAAATAGATTCTAGATGTAGAATTTACATTAAGTCTAGATCTAGAATTTACATTGAGTCTAGTGACCTACATTACATCTAGGCTAGATTTAGATCTAGATCTAGGCTAGATTCATAACTTTCCTTCGATAGCTGATCTTTAGATCTAGAGAAATTTATCGTAAAACTAAATAAAAAAGACAGTTGAAAATTGATATAAGTGTTGGAACGTAATAAATACAGCAAACGGACGTATTGTTTAAGTTATAGCCGGCAGAAAATTAGCTTTGTAACGCGTTAAACTTTTGAATGGGCCACAAAGTCTATGATGGAGTCCGCCATTTTTATTGTACTAAAAAGTAAACACATCAAGGGACGTCACTATCCCAACAAAGTTTATTCAAAGTATTAACATTTTTAAAAAAATACGGTTAATTTAACTATGAATAAATCAATAAATTAATTAACGTCTTTAAATAAATGTGTGATTAACAGTCTGTCTTAAAACAAAAAATTTTCTCTACCTACATACTATTTTACAGCTCTCCACGATGAGTGCAACCATGCGCAATAATCAATCAGGGCAATACACACTAGGATTTTATTGTGGAATTCTGAAGGTTAGAATTTTAAAATAAGCTTTATAGCATAACCAGATGAGTGGTGGTATGCTGGTGACAAGATCATATGTATCTGTTGTGAAAACTAATTACTTTTAATTAATAAATTTAAATTTAAACAATTAATTTTCATTTTAAATTCATCTCTCAGAGAATCATTTCAAACATTTTTGATTGTTGAATGGCATAAAATGTATTGTACCAGCAAAACCTGCAAACATTTTATATACCAGTAAACAAAGATTTTAAAATATGTGCCTAACTCATCACCTAACATTTAAGTACAATTTTACTTAATAATTTAAAACACTTGACACAAATAAAAAGTAATTGTAAATTTGCAGAACGGTTATATTGTTTAACTCCTAAGTTTTAATTTTAAAAAATACTCAAATTATGGTAACTAAATCAAGGTTAACATGTCTCACAGTTTGATATAAATATTTAAAATAATGTATGAGATGTGTCATATAGTTTTTAAAATAAAGGAAATATACATATACTGTCTAGCCAGCTTCTCACTGATTTTGTAACATTTAAGTGTGTTTAGAAGGGGGGGGGGGGGCTCGCTGACATTATTGTTGACATTATTCCATTATTCATATCCTCTGTAATCAATTCAAATTTATTTTCAGATTACAGAAAGTAAAAGTCTATACATGGCTGAAACACAAACTGAACCTGTCTTTATACCAGGTAAGATATTTTTAGGTAGGAAATATTTTCAATAGTGATGTTTTGATATTATAAATGATCTCCCTTTGTGCCATACTATGTTTATTAGATTACTGCTCAACTTTTCTTTCAATAAGTTATCTCCCCTTGTACCTCTCCAGGCCACATGAAGCCAAAAGTTTTTAAAATAAAGTAAATATTTATATACTGTCAGTCAGGCATGCTTCTCACTCTAATCTTTTATCCAATAGGGGGGATAGCTGACATCATTGCACACATTATTCATAGGCTGTGTAATCAATTACAATTTATTTTCTGATTACAGAAAGTTAACACTATTTCTAAACATGGGTACAACACAAAGTGAAACAGTCTTTGAACCAGGTAAGATATTTTGTGTAAAATATATTTTCAATATTAGTGTTTTAATATTATGAATTACCTCCCTTTGTAATATTCTGTTTATTTATTTCATTATATTGCTGTTTATAGTTTCATTCAATAAATTATCTCCCTTTGTACCTCTCCAGGACATCATGAAGCCGAGATCTGCTATGGAGGTGAAGCTGACTTACACAAGCACTATACCGGCTGTAAGAAGAATCCAGGTCATGTCAACTTTATACCTGTTAATGATTTTAACTTGGGTCATCTCCCCTCACGTTACCGTGACGTCATCATGTTGGAGCTAATCAAAGCTTTGTCTGCCCTAACGGTCCTGATAAAGGTCAAGTACACCAGTCTAGAGAGACCAAAGTCTGTTCCATGCTTCAGTGGTCAGTATCCATTTTATAACACCAGAGGAAGTGACGTGTTGAGGACAGGGACAGGGTGGGTGAGGAGTGTTTTCAAGTTCACAGAGAGTTACAACATGGGCACTTGTCCATGTGGCAAGTGTCAACACTCGGACACACCCAGCAAAGTGTGGGGGGAGGTTACTGTGGAGACAGCCGCACACGTGGTGTTTGATGTCAGTGAGACGAGACAGACCAGGTGTGTTGTAGGTTTTGATGACAATAAAAGTCAAGTGGTCAGTCTTGATGGCTGGGAGGTGAAGTGGGCAGACATTGAGGGAGACGTGTGTGTGTTTACATGTGTGTCATGTGACTTAGAGTTGGTTGATGAACTGGACAAGATGCGTTGGCACTTTGAAGATCTATGTGGGAAAGTAAGGGACAAATACGAGAGATTTCATGAACTGGACCAGATATGGCGGATCGTTACTGATCTACGTGATAACGTTATAAACAAATACTGGAGATTTTTTGTTTTGGACAAGTTGGCCGTTATAGTGTCACATCCTCATGGCTGTCCTAAACAGGTCTCTGTAGGACAATGGACACACAGACATAAGAGGGAAGGTATGGACAAGTACACATACACGTACACAACATGTACATGTCCAGGCTCCAGTGGAGCGTGTGTCTACATGCCGAGATATGAAGGGTCGTCATCACATCCCCACAGTGGATCAAACTCTGTAGGAAATTATTGTGGGGAGGATGGGAATATTGGGTATGTTCTCTCACCTTGTGCACTGAAATTTGTGATTATCCCCGGTTGTGTAATGATTCTGTTGGTTCTCTCCCTTTGTCTAATGTAACTGTTGGTTCTCTCCCCTTGTCTAATGTAACTGTTGGTTCTCTCCCCTTGTCTAATGTAAACAAACAAATTGGCGGCTCAATAAACTTGTGTGTGTCAAGACTTAAATGTCTTCATCAGCAACTTTGTATTCTGGTGAAGACAGGAAATAAATTGTTTGGTTTCTTTCACATCATTTGTTTAGAGTTGTTAGACACCTAAACAAAGTTATAAACAAATGTTTATTGCTGCAAACATGTATTTTGTTGCTTATTAATTAATCATTAAGATTAATCTGTATGAACTTTGTGGATTTCATTTGTACATTTTTCTTTAATAATTAATCAACTGTTTGTATTGATGTCAATAAAGGTTTAGAATATTTCAAAGATTCTTTCATTCATTTTGTTATCATTGATAATCGTAATGTTTAGTGTTGATGATAAACAAAACACGATGTTAGTGAAGAAAAATGTCGGCAGTTTGTAGCTGAGACTTAATGTCGGCAGTCAAGTTTGTAGCTGAGACTTAATGTCGGCAGTCAAGTTTGTAGCTGAGACTTAATGTCGGCAGTCAAGTTTGTAGCTGGGACTTAATGTCGGCAGTCATGTCTGTAGCTTAAAATGTTGGCAGTCAAGTTTATAGCTGAGACTTAATGTCGGCAGTCAAGTTTGTAGCTGAGACTTAATGTCGGCAGTCAAGTTTATAGCTGACTTAATGTCGACAGTCAAGTTGGTAGCTGAGACTTAATTTCGGCAGTCAAGTTTGTAGCTGAGACTTAATGTCGGCAGTCAAGTTTGCAGCTGAAACTTAATGTCGGCAGTCAAGTTTGTAGTTGAGACTTAATGTCGGCAGTCAAGTTTGTCGCTGAGACTTAATGTCGGCAGTCAAGTTTGTAGCTGAGACTTAATGTCGGCAGTCAAGTTTGCAGCTGAGACTTAATGTCGGCAGTCAAGTTTGTAGCTGAGACTTAATGTCGGCAGTCAAGTTTGTAGCTGAGACTTAATCAAGTTAATGTCGGCAGTCAATTGAAAACAACGGCCTATCTTTTTACATTCATGTGGACTAAATTGTAACAGACAAGCTCATATTTATTTAAGACACTAGTCAAAAGGAATAACATTTACGGTAGCTAAATTTATCGCTTGCAATATCTACTTTCCTGTTTCCAAGCAACAAAAGCGTATTGGTAGGGGTAAAAAGTGATGTGTAGACAGTCGTAATTTTAATTTTTATAGATCCTCATTGACATTAGATAATCACTTCGTTGACAGTGGCGTTGCGAGGTCGGGTGTCACCTGCTGCGGCACTTAATGGTGTCATCCCCAGAGGCGTAGCGACAAATTGTACCCCCCCTCAAACTTTGGTTTGGCATCCCCCCTCTAATTTTTCTCTATATTTTGCTATTTTTTTGCCTTGGTGTCACCCCCCTAAATGGTGTCTCCCTGTGCGGTCCGCACTCTCCACCCCCCCTCGCTACGCCTCTGTTCATTGATGGTATCTGACGTGTATAAATAACATGAGATGTTGTCTTTCCCTGCATCTATATAGTGAACTTATAAGTAAAATATTAGTTGAATTTATTTAGTTTGAAGTATTGCATAATCGTTATAATTACCCATAACGATAACCACCCTCCTTCCACCTATTTCTGTATGTGGTTGTAAAGAGGTGAAAAAAAGAAGGATTGATTATTTTTCCATTTCGAATTATGACGACTAAATTGGTTACAAACTTCAGACATGTGCCAATCAGCTTGCTACTTGGACAAAATGTAACAAAATAAACTTCACCCCGATAAAAATAAGTCAATGATTATTACAACTCTTCAGAAACGCCTTCGTCTTCCATCCACCTCATTACGCATTACTATAGACAACACAAACATTGAACAGGTTGATAGTTACAAATGCCTAGGATTGGTTATAGATCACAATCTCACTTGGTCCGGTCATATCCATCTTCTAAGAATGTCCTTATTAAAGACAACTTTTCAACTAGCAAGGATAATGAACTTTCCTATGACTATAGGAGCAGGCTAGTTTTTTTAATGAAGCTTTTATTCAATCTAGGTTGGATTATGCTTCTGTAGTATGGAGCGGCAGCTTTATAACTAAGCAGCGTCCTCTTCTATCATTACAAAACATGCTATAAAACTGGTTACGTGCTTGTCTAGTAGTCTGGATTCTTTTATTACAAGTAAATTACTTCCATTAAATAAAAAGATAATATATACTAAATCAATTTTTTTATATAAAATATTCCACGAAATAGCCCCCTCTTACTTATCAGAACTATTTTCTTTTAACATAAAATTAAATCGTCGTCTTAATTTACCGTTCCCATATACAACTTTTTTCCAAAAACATAGCTTCGCCTACTCTGGTTCTAATTTGTGGCACGATTTTCCTAATAAAATAAAGCTATCTAGAACTGAAAATATATTCAAATCTAAACGAAAACAATAATTATTTAATGACCTCTAACTGACTCATTGAAACATTTCTCATTCATCTATTATATTCTTTTTTCTTATCTCATTTTGTATTATAACTATGTAACATTATCTCTTTATTTCACATTTTAGTGCTATGTTGCTGCTGTTTTTTTTTTTTTTTTTATTAATGATGTTTTTGAATTGTTGTTTTATTTGTTTAAACGGCCAATGTGAAAAAAGGCCTTCGTGCCTACAACAATTGTTACCGTTTTTTGAATAAATTGAAAAAATTGCATTGGTTTATGGTCAAAGGGAAATAACAATGAAAATACATAATTATACATTTTGCTACACAGTTGCCTGCCTTATTAAATATTTTGCTTGATTGAATGCAGTGTTTCTTCCAGACTTTTTCTCTCCGGGGGGCACTTGAAATTTTCGGGGGGTGGGGGGGGGGGGGCGGTAGACTTTTTTCGGGGAGGCGGACACTGTTAAAAGTATATATTTTCTATATAAATTATATAAATTTCATTTCGTTCCGGGGGGGGGGGGGGGGGGGGAGGGAGGCGGTAGAAAATTTTCGGCCCCCCTCCCCCCACGAAAAAAAGCCTGTGAGATACTCTGATTAAATTTGTATGTTGTACAGCTAGAAACGAAGTGAGATCTAATACGCTAAGAGAGTTTTAAAATAGAACGCCAACAATTAACTTATCGATACGAAGTATTATGTTCCTGATTATTGTATATATAAGATATGCAATTCAAAATGCTCTGGCTATAACTAGAAATTCGATGTACGTTTTAAAATGGTTCTAAAGATAGGGCTCTATTCTTCTACTGCAAAACACCAGATTCTATTAGGTGTGGTTTGATGATATAAACAGAAAATAACGACGTAATTGCTGTAATTGTTAGAAAGGTGGATAGAAAATAGACAATTTGCTTGTATCTTGATAAAACCAACAAGCAAATTTACTTCCGACAGGGCTTATTATGTATGTATCTATTAAAAGATAAGTTTTAAATAGCAATTAAAATATTTTTAAAATAAAACTTTTGATATGAAAATTGTATTTGCCCGTTTGAACTAAAGAAATGAAAATTTAAATCAAGAAAAAAAAATCTTATCAAGCAGGAAGTGTTCAGTGTTTACATGCTAGGATAGAGGAGCTTGTGTTGAAGGATATGATTGAACTAGCTTCAGTGTTGTGGATAGAATTGTTATGTGTAACATATTTTAAAGTTGTGGATATAATTGTTATGTGTAACATATTTTAATGTTGTGGATAGAATTGTTATGTGTAACATATTTTAAAGTTGTGGATAGAATTGTTACGCTGTAGTGTTGAGAATGAAGTATTTTATTAGCTTTAGTCTCCTAGTTTTATTGTAAGTTTTGTCTGCCATAACTAAAGACCAATTTATAATACTTTGTATATTTTACTGGTAATTGTATATATTTTCTATATACATTATAATTTGTTATGATAAATTATAATTTGAGCTGCAGTGCCCCACCCACGCCCGAAGAAATGCCTGAAATAAACAAAGGCTTTACAGTGTGTAATGTGGTTTTATGTATGATATAGAACGCTTGCTTTTTTATCCACAGACAAATCCAAATGGAAATCTAGGGATCAACAGGCTAGCCTGTCTGATGTGAGAATCATTCAATTTTGAAATAAATATAAATGGAAGCATGGATTTTGTTATTGAATATTGTCACAACATTTTGTTCCCGTTTATGAGTATTATACTTGGTGACCCTTGCCCTCTGTAATCTGAATACATAAACATCTTCAGGCTCGACTTCCAGGACGTCGTCTACTACGATAAAACCATCGGAGAAACTTTGTCCATCAGGGAAAACTCTTTTGATAAAACGAAAAGAGATTTCATGAAGAAAGATCTGCTGACTAAAGAAATGCTGGGCTATCTGTTGATACATTTTAAAATATCAGAAGATGGGCCGGAGACTTTTATTGCTTTGATCCTGTCACTCATGATCAAATTTAACCTGTGCTTTGATTTGAAAACAAAATTTGGTGTTAAAAATTTGACCATCAAGTACTCTACCATTAGAGCTAATTAAAATCAATTATCTTCACCTAAGTTAAGTTTGACTTAATTAAAGACACTATACGTGCCAGACGTTAAATGTAGAAACTCTGTGTAACTAAAAAAATTGAAATTGTGGATACGAAGTTTTTTTCTGTCCTTTATTCAGGATTCCATCATGCAAATAATTGTAAATAATGTTAGGTGTAGGTGTGATAGTTTACCTGTAATTGGATGTTGCTTCAAGCACAAGTTGATGTTAACATTTCTTATGCTTTCTATAAGCCTGGCTTTATAGAATTAGATTTGTTCTCCTTTACATGGATTAAAATGTCAAATCATTTGTGTTTGGTCAGTTTTAATTTCTCTGACATATTGGATATATGTTTGTTGAGTTTGGTTTGACTAACAGATCGGATATGTGTTTGTTAAGTTTGGCTTGTTTGATAATGACATTTGTTGCTTATTGTAGGTATGTCAAACGGACGTAAAAACGCCGTTTCCGCCCAGTCGCCAAAATATAGTAGGTTTTCACGTCATAGTTTCTATAATAAAAAGTGCTCGTATAGTAAGCTTGGTACCATTAAAAGTTGACTTAAGCCCTATAATTATGAGTAATGTTTTATAGTTATTGATATTACACAATGTATATCATTTACCGTTTGAAAACTATCACCGAGATGATTTTTCAACGGCAGTCGAGAAAGTGATTTGACCCATCTTTCATTTCACCAAGAAAACACAGCATTAGTGCATGCATCATATGAAGTAGTATTAGAAATTGCCAAGCAAAAAAAAACTTTCACACAAAGGAGAAAATCTCATCAAACAATGTATGCTGAAGATGGTAAAATTAATTCTTGGGGATTCCA